CACGTCAGGCCACGCCATCCTGGCTAGTACAGCCGGAAGTTTTTATCAGGATTTGGTAGGTACAAAGTGACGGTTGTACTAGCCAGGATGGCGTGATTAATGACGAATCGCTTGTAAAAACGCGGACAAATATTTGCTCGAGTTACGCTTCTGGTATAACTTCCTATTCTGTGACGAAAAGGTCCATTCCGGAAGTGAGCCGGCCACCGTGACGTAATTGCCTCTTCAAAAAGTCAACAAAGTCAAATTTTCAACAACAAGAAAGCTGAAATATTGAAGCATATTTCACTCAGTTTTACACGCGAATTGCCGTCGCTTTTCACGGCAGAGAAAATGGGAAAACCAGACGAATTTAAAATAACATTCACGAGCAACAAACGCGTTTATTACGCTGGAGATATGGTCACAGGAAATGTAGTTACGAAGTCGCGAAAGAAATTAAAATTTCGCTCGATTCGTATGGAGTTTCTGGGCGAAGCTAAAGTAGCCAGGGCGAATAGCAAAGATTGGGTCACCGTACAGAGTTATTTTGACGAAAAAGTTGAAATCTATGGCAAAGGTTTGCACAGTATTCTAAGGGGGGAAATTTACGACATGTCATGTTGGGTATTTTTTTAATTTTATGGCACCCCTTGTCTGCATAATATTTTATGGGATTATACATAAATTTTGATGCTTGCCACAATTTGATACAATTTGATTTGTTACAGTGAATTTTCTTATATAAATTCATGTTTAAAATAAGACGTTATTACTGTCATTTTACTAATAATGAGTTCTAGGGCAAAATCTTCAAAATTTGAAATTGGGCAATTTTCCTGTGTAAATATGAAATATTTGGAAGATTATCTTTGACACAATTAGTACATTGTTAAAGTACATATTCACATATTTGGAATTTGAAGTTGCACAAGGAATTATGAAAGATGTTATGGGTTATAAATTCGGCAGCCTTATTTCTAAGCATTTTTGTTTTTTGATAAAAAATTATGGCAGCTGAGATGTGTATTGTTATATGTTAATACAATGAATATATATTAGAATTGCCTGACAAATATATGTCTGTCATAAATTTTTCATAAGTCACGTTTTTAATGGATGACAATAATTTAATGAATTCACATGGTATCATTTTCTAAATGAGGAAACCTAGATGTTAGACTAAAATGATTTATACTGGATGCCCTATCGATTCTTAAAATTATTTTCCCTGGAGGTCCAGTATTAAAGTCCTGTTAATAAATAATAGTTAATAATTAATAACTAAATAATAGTTGATGTATGGAAATCATACAACAAGTCCTACTACTTGACAGGAGCAAATCAAGATGGGTCTTATCCAACAATTCAAGCTGGCGACCATGTCTTTCCGTTTCATTTTGAAATCCCACGACGACGTCTGCCGTCATCATTCGAAGGAAGGTTTGGATGTATTCGTTACTCGCTAAAGGCAACGATGGACCGCCCATGGAAATCGAATTATAATGCAAAAAATGCAATAACAATCTTGGAAATTGTTGATATAAATGAACCGTGGGCTTTGGTATGTTAACATCATGAAATACTCTTCTAAACCTCAATCAACCCATTGGGCTGCAAACCACCCAAATGTGCCCTACTTTATTATTTTACTCTGTCTGACGATTTTACTCGTCAAGGGAAAAGTGCTGCCACTCAATGGGTTAATAGTGTAATGTGGTCATTGTAGGAGCCAATCGTAATGGAACGAGAGATGCAGACGCAATTTATGTGTTTCAACCGTGGTTCTATCGTGGCCCAGATGAGAACAGATCGCTGTGGTTACTGCCCTGGCGAAGCTGTAGCTCTCACTGGTGGATTTTGTAACAATACCTCGTCAAGAACGAAGCCTGTGACTGTCAGCTTATATCAGAAGACCATATATACACAAGGTGTGTGCGAATAAATGTTCAATATTTCAAAACCAGAGAGCTCTGGCTCTACATGCACGAGAAACAAAGTAACAATAACCCTGACAAAAACGTTAAGTGTAGCTGGCCAAAAAAATTATCTGATTTTTATTTTCAGGAAGTAAAAAGAATGAAATAAACAAATGTGTGAAAGTGAGCAAAGACAAGCGTCTCCAACCTCACCGACCAATACAATGGGAGAACCAAATGTTCAGTATTCCGGCAATCCCACCCACGATAAATAATTCGAAATTTATCAAAGTTTCATATTTACTTGAGGTTAGTACATGCACTAGTTTCTAACCTACTGTAGAAGTAATATTACCATGACAAATTGGTCTACCTACACTGGACACCAGTGAGTAGCACCAAACAAACTTCTTTTTAAAATTTTAGGTAAGTATACAGTCAAGTCGTGGCTCCCTGGTCCTTAACCTACCAATTACGATCGGGACAGTTCCCTTTAGGCCACCAATTCTTGCGAGTGCCCCACCTATGATGTCACCAGTCTACCCATTACCTTCTGCGCCCCCAGCTGATCTTGCACCACCCTATGAAGTAAACCTACCAAGTTATTCTGAATCCATGGCAACAGCACAACTTGGGCGTAAGTGTACATAATTGTTAGTCGGTCATTCAGTCGGTTGGTCGGTCGTCATTCAGTCAGTTGGTCGGTCGTCATTCAGTCGGTTGGTCAGTCAGTTGCTTGGTCGTCATTGAGTCGGTTGGTCAGTCAGTTGCTTGGTCGTCATTCGGTCGGTTGATCAGTTGGTTGGTCATCATTCAGTTGGTTGGTCGGTTGTCATTTGGTCGGTCGTCATTTGGTCGGTCGTCATTCAGTCATTGGTCAATCAGTTGCTCGGTCGTCATTCGGTTGGTTGGTCAGTCAGTTGCTTGGTCGTCATTCGGTCGGTTGGTCAGTCAGTTGGTTGGTTATCATTCAGTTGGTTGGTTGTCATTTGGTCGGTCGTCATTCAGTCATCGGTCAATCGGTTGGTCAGTCGTCATTCAGTCGGTTGGTCAGTCAGTTGCTTGGTCGTCATTCGGTCGGTTGGTCAGTCAGTTTGCTGGTCATCATTCAATTGGTTGGTCGGTTGTCATTTGGTCGGTCGGTCATCATTTAGTCATTGGTCAATCAGTTGGTCGGTCGTTATTCAGTCGGTTGGTCAGTCAGTTGGTGGTCATCGTTCAGTCGGTTGATCTGTCAGTTGGTTGGTCAGTAAGAGGTTTACAATGTACATTATAGTGCAGTTTATGTACTAGCCCATGTTGTAACTATTGGTCGGTCGTCATTCAGTCATTGGTCAATCGGTTGGTCAGTCGTCATTCAGTCGGTTGGTCAGTCAGTTGCTTGGTCGTCATTCGGTCGGTTGGTCAGTCAGTTGGCTGGTCATCATTCAGTTGGTTGGTCGGTTGTCATTTGGTCGGTCGGTCGTCATTTAGTCATTGGTCAATCAGTTGGTCGGTCGTTATTCAGTCGGTTGGTCAGTCAGTTGGTGGTCATCGTTCAGTCGGTTGATCTGTCAGTTGGTTGGTCAGTAAGAGGTTTACAATGTACATTATAGTGCAGTTTATGTACTAGCCCATGTTGTAACTATTGGTCGGTCGTCATTCAGTCATTGGTCAATCGGTTGGTCAGTCGTCATTCAGTCGGTTGGTCAGTCAGTTGCTTGGTCGTCATTCGGTCGGTTGGTCAGTCAGTTGGCTGGTCATCATTCAGTTGGTTGGTCGGTTGTCATTTGGTCGGTTGTCATTTGGTCGGTCGTCATTTGGTCGGTCGTCATTCAGTCATTGGTCAATCAGTTGCTCGGTCGTCATTCGGTTGGTTGGTCAGTCAGTTGCTTGGTCGTCATTCGGTCGGTTGGTCAGTTATCATTCAGTTGGTTGGTTGTCATTTGGTCGGTCATCATTCAGTCATTGGTCAATCGGTTGGTCAGTCGTCATTCAGTCGGTTGGTCAGTCAGTTGCTTGGTCGTCATTCGGTCGGTTGGTCAGTCAGTTGACTGGTCATCATTCAGTTGGTTGGTCATCATTCAGTTGGTTGGTCGGTTGTCATTTGGTCGGTCGGTCGTCATTTAGTCATTGGTCAATCAGTTGGTCGGTCGTCATTCGGTCGGTTGGTCAGTCGGTTGGTCAGTCAGTTGGTGGTCATCATTCGGTCGGTTGGTCAGTCAGTTGGTGGTCGTCATTCGGTCGGTTGGTCAGTCAGTTGCTTGGTCATCATTCAGTTGGTTGGTCGGTTGTCATTTGGTCGGTCGTCATTCAGTCATTGGTCAATCAGTTGCTCGGTCGTCATTCGGTTGGTTGGTCAGTCAGTTGCTTAGTCGTCATTCAGTCGGTTGGTCAGTCAGTTGCTTGGTCTTCATTTGGTCGGTTGGTCAGTCAGTTGGCTGGTCATCATTCAGTTGGTTGATCGGTCGTCAGGTCGGTTGGTCGTCATTTAGTCATTGGTCAATCAGTTGGTCGGTCGTCATTCAGTCGGTTGATCTGTCAGTTGGTTGGTCAGTAAGAGATTTACAATGTACATTATAGTGCAGTTGTTTATGTACTAGCCCATGTTGTAACTATTGTCCTAAAAGTCAAGTGATAATAGCCTAACATGTTTATATTCTCGTCTATTTTCTAGCTCCACCAGCCTATGCCGAATGCGTATTTGGATCCGCACGCATTTGGGACGAGAATGATGCAGCCGGGGGTGCTGTAATGGGTGATACTTCATTTACACCTATGTATGCATTTGTATCACACTACGAGTACAGACCTAGCACGGCAGGAACGTTTACTGAGGAAGAGACCATCACCGCAGAGCGAGAACCAAGGTTAGATGCCGTTGATGATGGTTTGTCTGACAGTATGGACGAAGAGAGTGACTGATTTGAAGAGAAGATATGAAGTGTGTACGCTTCTATCCAAGAAATGAAACCTTGTATATCGCTGACAAGCCAGTCACGATGTATTGTATAAAGAATGACAGTATATGTATCAAGAAACACAGGGGAAAAAATAACAAACTGCTGAAAGATTTCCTTATTTTCAGAACATATGTATTCTTCTAGTGTATCCCATAATCAGTGAAGATGTTTTTGTTTCATTTCACTTGTTATGTTATCTGAGTTTTTTCTTTTGATGTTATATAACAATTTATTGAGCAAATGCTTTGAATGGATGATTCTAGCTGTCGACTAATTTTTTATCTAGACAAGAAAGACAAAATATATACTAAAATACTCAAAATATATACAGGTATAATACTAAAATAAAATACTCAAAATTTGCTTAATTTCACAGGGCTATATTTTTCGTATTTTTACAACATTTTGCAATCAAATTTGCCAATTTTACTAATTGAAGGACGTTCTTTTATGATAGATTTCGTCTTTCTTGTCTGGATCAAAATTTAGTCTGGATGAAAATTTAGTCTATATCATCCATTGTTGATCTTTTGAAAAACACGGAACCGAGATGAAATTTCTGGAACCGTCAACTCTAATTGAAACTTTAAAGTGTAGCTACATTATTTATAGAAATCGCCATAGAAATATTTAAAGTAATTTTGTGATTAAAATTAACAAATTGAACTCAAAAAGGCCTAGAACGGCTCTTCTTAGAAGGGACACCGCGCTGTAAAAGAGACATCTATGTATGGTTGTAGAATAACGTTTGTATGTATAGTCTATGTAGAGATAGAAATATAGTCAGAATTTAGATTTAATTGGTCCAAACTCATGTTCCAATTGTTTTCATATTTTAGAGGGATGTTATTATAGCTAAGCGGCAGTATTTAAATTAAATTGGTCCGAATACATATTTCACTAATTGTTTTCATGTAGAGTGATGATATTAAAACTGTAGATAAACTCGTCCGTAATACACATTTAATTTGTCATCAGCAAGATATTAACCACAATGAGAGCAAATTGTGCGCAAAGTAAATTCTAAGATTTGAAGGATTGGTAAGAAATGTTTGAGGAAACTGACTTATAGTTGTTGAATACTGAATCACTTTCCTCACTCAAAATTTTTGTACAAATGATTCCAAACGTAGAATTTACCCATGCAAAATTCCGCAGCCCTCGAAAACGAGGTCGGCGATGCCGACCTATCAAACCCTCGGGTCGGCAAATTTTGGCCGACCTTAATTCAGCCAAAGTATGAATCTCTTTTTCATTTTTTGGTGCTGATGGCTGTTAAACAGTCAGCGATTACAGAATTCGATTCGTAGTTCGATTAATTAAACACACTTCGGTGTAAGGTTTAAAAATTGACGGGTATTTTATATATAATTTAGGTACGACTCCAAAGGAAAAGCCGTGTTACTTTTCAATGATTCGTATATACATTCGGTTTTCGAGGGCTGAATGGACCTTTCCCCTTATAACTAAAATTTTGATCTAGACAAAAATTTCATCGCAGCTTGAAAGAGCATCACAAAATTAGTAATATTCCAAAGTTTCGTTGCGAAATGTTGTAAAATGCGGATAATATAGCCTTGCGAAGTTTGCCATTTTTCAGTCATTTTGTATTACGCATGGGAAATTGACAGCCCAATCGGGTGTTGGGGCATCAATTTCCCGTTTATAATACAAAATGACTGAAAAACGGCAAACTTCGCAAGGCTATGTTATCCGCATTTTACAACATTTCGCAACGAAACTTCGGAATATTACTAATTTTGTGATGCTCTTTCAAGCTGTGGTGAAATTTTTGTCCAGATCAAAATTTTAGTTATAAGGGGAAAGGGCTGAATTCCTGCTGTGATCACAGAAACTTTGATAGTGTTAACCAGCCTTCAGCAACGGTAATACAACAGGAATATGCACAAAGCAAAATGAACAACAGCAAAATAGAAAATGAGAATGCGCAAGCAAGATTTGGTGTGTAAAGGGAATGTATTTATATACAAATAAAATGCGTTTATAGGCTTATTTTTCCAATCCTAAATGCTACAGCACCAGCAGAGAGGTCATACATTTCGACATAATTTTCTAATCCAAGTGTGGTTAATTTTACTGTAGATAAATTAAACACACTAAGTGTTCCACAATATCCTCTGCAGTTTCGCCTTTATGTTCTAGTAGAGTATTTTCTAGTACTTTATGTTCTAGTAGGTCATACATTTCGACATAATTTTCTAATCCAAATGTGGTTAACTTCGGATAAATTAAACACATCAAGTGTTCCACAATACCTTTCTGCAGTTTCGCTTTTATGTTCTGGTAAAGTATCTGAAACAGGGAACACACCGTGATTATTTCTTTCGACCACCACGTTCTTTCACTTGTAGCTGAACCACACTGGATGGCAGGAAGTTGTAATAGGCCAACGTGTTTGAATCTTTAATGAACATGCTCTACAAGAAAGAAATATACACATATCAACAACAAGAATACGAACTAACGGCTCAGTCGTTCTGCAGATTAATTTGTTTCGTCAACTATACTGTTGCACGTATTTAGCAAGACAACATATATGTTCGTTTTTTAATGTTAAACAATTTCAGAAAGCATCCACATACTAAAACATGAAGAATTTAAGGACCTAATTCAAGCATTAATTTATAAACTCAGGGACCTTCAAGCAAAGATATCTTATATACATTAGATAGCGCATCTCTTTTAGTAAAATTGAAGCCAAGAATATTCCAGCGGTTACCCCCATTTGAATAGATGGCGGCCATGTTGGTCGTTCCCACTTGCTAATAAACGCTTAAAAACAATAACTTTCATCATTTGAATAGTTTGAAAATGTATTTGGAATAGGTTTACCTTAATGTTTAAGTTCCCTGTTTATGAAATGGAAAACATACGAATCTTCTCATTTCATGGGAACGACCTGAGACTGCAATCACGGCTTCAATTTTTGAATTGCAGAATAATTAGATGCACTATGTAGTTCTATATAAGATATCTATGCCTTCAAGGCCTTGAATTTTTTATTTTTTTTTTATATAAACATATTTATTTAGACACATTTTCTCCAAGAGCTCATAGCTCATCGTGGGAGATTATGTGTAAATATTTACAAGGGATGTTTCTTGCTTGAGCTACATTTTTATTGAAAAATACAAAATGAGGAAACTAACTATACTTACTTCAAGTTGTAATTTCTGTTTTCCTGCCGGCATTCCAATCTCTTCGTGCAGTTTAGCTTTGATAACAGAAACCTTGAAAGACACAGGAAATAGAAAATATGAATGATGATTTTAATGATTGTTGTGACAATAATGTGGTGGTGAGAAAGGTGTGATGGTGAGAAAGGTGTGATGGTGATAGTAGTGATGGTAAATGATGATAGTGACGATGAGCATGATGCTAATGATAATGATCACGATGGTGAATGTGGTGATCATGATGGTGAATGTGATGATCATGATGGTAAATGTGATGATCATAATGATGAATGTGATGATCATGATGGTGAATGTGATGATAATGATGGTGAATGTGATGGTGAATGTGATGGTGAGTGTGATGATCACGATCATGATGGTGATGTGGTAAAAATGATAGTGGTAAAAAAAAATTAAAAAAACCCAACTCTCGCGGCCTTACCGGATCAGTCCAAGGCAAAATCAAGAAGATCTTCTGTCCGTGACATTTCCACTCGGTCTTATCAGGAATATCAGGAACTTGCACTTGGAATCTCACAGAACCTTTATGTTTTAGTAAGAAGATATTCTCTGGCATAAGGTTGGCTTCAGGGCCTGCATCCACTTTAGATTTCTTAGCCGCGGGCTCGTCGGGTGCCATGACGGGTGGAGCAGCCTGCACATCAGGGCGGATGAATGGCGGGGGCTGCATAGGTGGCATGCCTAGAAATGAACATCATAAGTGGATATATGATAATCTATAATTGTTTCGTGGGAAACACCACGTTTATCTGGTTCAAAACAATACTCTGAATGGAGGTGTTATAATATGGGAGTTGTTTCACCCAGTGGTTTGACGCTGCCAAACAACACCAGTTTAAAACGGATGTTTAAAGACTCGGTGTGTAAAACAAACAGATTTCGGAAGAGATTTTTACCAACAAATGCTAATGACAAATATTTGGATAATTAATACTTTTCTTAATATATTTAGAGTATATACTAAATTTCTTATTTATAGTGTAAAATAGTTGTGGATTTTATATTTCGAATACAACTTGGTATATATAGTACATTTTCTAATTTATACGATTAATTGTCATGTAGTTCGAATATAATTCAGATTTGTAAGAGGCTGCAAATTTCCCTAAAAAATCTATCTAAGTTTTCATAAGTTACTCCCAAAGTGATACTAGACAAATAAGGGATGGCCCTCACTGGACCTCAAAGATGACGTGTTACAAAGAGAAGCTCTATCAGTTCTAAACTGTTCTCCCTAGAGTTTTGCGATGAGTAGAAAAGAGCCTTCACTTACCCATAAATCTTTGCGGGGGTGGTACGGGTGGCCTGAGCATTTGTGGTGGTGGGGGTGCATTCCTTGGTTCGCCTGGGGGTATACGTGGCATATTGTGAGGCATGGGTACCCGTGGTGGAAACACGGGGGGAGGGGGAGGTCTGCTTAGAGGTTGACCGGGAGGTGGAGGACGGGGAGGGTGAATATTAGGAGGAGGGGGTGGGGGGTTGTTTGATGATGGCTTCGGACCAATTGCTTCTTTCTCTTTGTCAGCACTGCGGGGGGAAAGAATAAATACATTCACTTGACGACAGTAGGAGGGAATAGAATCTCATAAAATTTATTTTAAAATTGAAATTTATCTTCAAATTGAAATTTATTTTAAAATTGAAACTTATCTCCAAATTGAAATATATTTTTAAATTGAAATTTATTTGAAAATTGAAATATATTTTCATATTGAAATTTATTTTCAAATTGATATTTATCTTCAAACTGAAACTTATTTATAAATTTAAATTTATTTTCAAATTGAACTTTATTTTCAAATTGATTTATTCTCAATGAGGAGACCGTTAGGATATTAGAAAATTAAAAGCAGGGGCCATTACTTACACCATGCCAATTTGTTTGTGTATCTGTTCAATCTGTTCCTCCAACGAGATCCCAGCAGCGGCTTTCTGCGCAGTCGCACTGATCGAGGCAGTGTGTCCATCCCACGTGACCTTCTCGGGTTGTTTCACATCCTCCTCGCCAATCTTCTGACCGATGAAGGTTTCCACGTCGCCAGCACCGAAAATATCCGTACGTCGTTGTGCAATGTGTTTGAGATTGCTCTCCATTGAGGTTCCTGCAACAAACAGGGCGATAATTCATCTATCACATATTGTGCTTCTGTCAGGGTGATAACAGGGTGACGATATGTCACTGATATCGTTTTTTGTCCCACTATTTTAATAATTGTCGCACTGGGGAAATCATTAATTTTCTAATAAATTCTGACTAAAAGCTCGCCCGGTGTGGATATACACTCAGAGTAACATCACAAACATAATTTCAAACATCATTAATAATTCATAAGCTTATTGGCAAATCATGTCAACCATAATATGTCACGTGCAGTGGCTTTAAACCTGATAAAAACACTCCTAATTATAGTATTCTTTATATAAAGAATACTAATAAGGCAGTATCTATTGTAGTCGTGTCCTCATTAGTATTCTTTATATAAAGAATTCTAATAAGACAGTATTTCTATTGAATTTGTAGTCGTGTTTGACGTTAAACCAGGGCGCTTTAAACCTAATAAAACACTCCTGCTCGTTTATTAAACAGTACATAATAAACAGGTTATCATAATCAGAATATAGAGCTGTTATTTTAGCTCCGGCTCCGGCAGTCAAAACTCCGGGTCCGGCAAGGAAATTTTAAGGAAATTTCATATTTAAAAGTAGAAGCAGACGAAGTATTTCAGTGTAATTTCAGAATTTTTTTATTCCTTTTCGAGCTTTCTCCTCTACTTATCAAATATACGTCCTTTGGTGCTTGTTTAAACGTTTTGTAGAAAGTAAAACCGCATGGCAGCGTGGTATTTTCGCCCAAAATACATCGGGGTCACCGGATTTTTGTATCAAAAGCGATAGCAATGCGCTTGCAGAATTTTCGAAGCCACGAATTAAACTTTATAGTAACTTCAAATCATTCAACTTAATTTTTCCATTACCAAAAGTTCATTGAAATATGAAATATTTTTTCATAATTTTGTCTGCCGGAGTTTTTGCCGGAGTTTTCCAACTCCGGCTCCAGCAAAATATCCCGGACCTTCGACTCCGGTATTCCGGCTCCGGCGCACAGCTCTAAATCGGAACGAGATGACATCAGTTTTATCGCTTTCTTCCTCACCTGAAGCAAACACACTCTCATGTTGTTTTTTCTCGGCCTCAAAACGATCTCTTTGTTCCTTCCATTTTGGATCGAGCAGACTGATTTTCATATGTTCATCAAATTCTTGCGGAGGCACTCTCTCCCCGGTAATAGGAGAGATAAGGTAGTTATCAGGGGGGATCGCGCCTCCTTGCGCTTTGGCTTGCTTAGGGTTGTAGTCTTTACGGATGTGGATGTTGGTCCCTGGAGCCATGGGAGGGAGGGGAGGTTGGGGTGGAGGAGGTTCTAGAGGGCGTGGGGGCGATGGCGGACGTGGACGGTTGTCCTTTTGATTGTCCTGAAAAAGTGCGAGACGTGTGTTATTCATAAGGATGAGGTGATTAATTAACTAAACTGAACTAACTTTATTTATACTGGATAGCTCTATCAGTTCTAAACTGTTCTTCCTAGAGGTCCAGTAAGGATCATCTCTTATTGCCCCAGTGTTACTACAGGAGGAAACCTAAACTAAACTAACTTTATTTATACTGGATAGTTCTACCAGTTCTAAACTGTTCTTCCTAGAGGTCCAGTTAGGATCATATCTTATTGCTCCAGTGTTACTACAGGAGGAAACCTAAACTAAACTAACTTTATTTATACTGGATAGCTCTATCAGTTCTAAACTGTTTTCTCTAGAGGTCCAGTAAGGATCATCTCTTATCGATCCAATATTACTACAGGAGGAACTAACTATATTTCTATTGGATAGCTCATACCTTAGGTGGTGGAGGTGGTTGTGTTTCATCTTCGTCTTCCATTTCAATATCCATCATATCATATTCTTCATCTTTTTCTTTTTCTCCTTCTTCCACTTCTTCACCCTACATGGACACAGCGTGATAATTTTTGTTGAAAATATTGTTTTATACAACGTGCGCAATTGGATACTTTACCATTGTGCTACAATGATATCAGGGAGGTTGCAGGTTAAAAACTAAGCGTATAACCATTCAGAGGAGTACCACATAACCCTGTTCAGATAACAAGTTATCACATATTTTGCTCATGTGAACAGAGCCTGGACAACGTCTTAAACAGATAAACTCCCCTATGCAATACGTACTAATTTCTCATGCACTATATGATGCAGGGATGGATTTACTGGGGGTGCACCCCCTAGCCCTCGCCAGAGGGGGTGCAGGGGGGGGGTGTTATTTTTATGATAAAGCAAAAAAGACAAAATGAGATGCAGTAAGTTGAGTAATAACATGATGATAAGTGAACTGTGAACAACAATTACAATTCAAATACAGTAGTTGATGGGCGGACGGCACATGTGACCGACACAACTCGGCAGTCGGCACCAGAGCACCCCTACCAGACCATGCTGGATCCATCCCTGATATGATGAATCACCATCATCACACAATCATCATACATCACACAATCACCCTGACATATGTTTAAGTACATTTAACTATTCCCAACATTCTTTAACTATTCATACACTGTTACTGACAGTATTATTCAAAAGCCCTGCACAGTTGTTTTGATGCAGATGACCCAAGGACATGGAGATCTGTATGTTTAAATTGCAACTCTTGTCGAAGTTTGAACAATGTTATCAACTATTGTGTAATTTTACCTGGCGAAGTTGAATAAATAAATTAATTAATTAATTATATAAATAAATAAAAATCATCATTAACATTACTACTATAATAATCACCACTCTAACCAGAAACATGCTCGAAGTTCCTTAGGCACACTGACAGTACTAACCTTTCCAGTGCCTGCTCTTTCTTGGGCTAAAATCCTTGCGCCAAGCTGTTCAAGCGTGACCGGTGGAGGTAAATTACCTGTCGAAATAAAATTATCAATGGACATGACAATGGGAACTGTTTGTAAGGATTAATAAAAGGATTAAAACTTTATTCTCCACAGGAAAAAACGCACCCGTCTCAGTTTCTTTGAATTCCACGGTTTCAACGACGACGAAATCATGCCAGTCAATTTGAGCGAACGAAACTACAAAATACAATTTGTTATTTCTAAGTTATAGTGTGAGCGCCGAGATTCAGTCATAAAAAAAGTTTTAGGTTGACTAGCATCAACATCCAAGCTGTCTTATATCTACACTATACCACAGCAGACGTTACACCCTCAAATTTAAATTAAACATAATTCTGCTCATCATCACGTCATCATCCCATAGTTGTTTTATCTACAACGGTACAACCACAATAAAACAAATCCTGAACACGCCAATAATAAAAAAATACAAACAACGCATCGTCCAACAAGTTTTGTCGAACTGTATTGAAAACTCACTAGAATTATTTAAGAGCTTTAACAAACCTCGTTCTTTTTCTTTTTCGTCTTCGACTTTTTGCTTCTCCTGCTCTTGATGTCTCGCCCATCTTACACGATAGTTCACATTGTCCAGAATCTAAAGCCCCAGTTAAACGAGAATGAGAGATGAGAAGCGAGAGTTTGCATGAGGGTTTTCTCAACTCTCCTGCCCCTGTTGTATGAAATGTTGTTGAATGTTGATTTTTGTTCGTCGCTATATAACAATTAAAGCACTTAATGTATGCTCTCGAGGGAAATAGTAATTTTGTTTTCCCTCGAATCTCAATGTTTCCCTCGACTTCGTCTTGGGAAACAATGAGATTCTTGGGAAAACAAAATTCACTATTTCCCTCGAGAGCATACAATAAGTGTATACTATTGTATAACTTACCTTAAACGGGTTGTCAACTTTCTCTCTCAGTCTGTCCTTGATACTTCCAGGCGGAATTAACACCTGAAAAAATTATATTTGGTACAACAAATAAATATTAACAAATGGGTGATTCCAGGTATAGATTGAATTTTGATCAAGGCAAGAAGAACGAAATCCAACACCACAGCTAGAAAGAGCGTCTTAGAAGGAGTAAAACTGCAAAGATTGGTTGCTAAATGTTGTAAAATGAAGAAAATATAATAATAATAATCTGTTTAATTAATCACATTGCAGTCTCTACTGAATTACATGATTATAAGTAAATACATTAAAAATTAAATTTACAGATAAAATTGAGTTCAAACCGTTCAATGTTCGTTCTGAATAGTCAGTTTAAATCTGTCCACAAATTATAATTGGGTCCCTGAATTAATATACACGAGTACTACTAAATCAATAATACATTAATAATTATATTTGACAGTTATAAAATTTTGAAACCGTTCTGTGTTCATCTGGAGTGACCAGCTTGATTCGGACCTAAGATTATAATTATGAGTATTTGGATGTGTACGAGTTGCAACAACATCCTTAAGAGGATTTATAGGACCATTGTCAAACTTCAATTTCCGAATAAATTGTTCACAGGAATTATGTCTACGCGTACTTAACTTTTTTAGACCAGTATAATTCAATGCGTCTTGATACGACATTTCGGGAAGCAAGATACATAATGCTCTTCTCTGTATCGATTCGATAAGGTCAGACTGGCCTTGGGTTAGCGTTGACCACGCAGGTGAAGCGTACTCAATTCGGGACCGAATGAAGGAGGAATATATAGTGACAAGGTCTTTATCGCTTAACCCAGCCTTTTTTAACTTCCGCAATGCATAGAGTCTGGAATTTGCTTTTTTAATCACATAGTCGACATGATCACACCAAGATAGATCCTCTCTCAGTAGCACACCGAGCAGTTTAAAGGAGGATACTGATTGCACTGGCGAACCATCTATATAGATCGCATTATCAAGTGGAAGGTGGTATTGGAGGAAGGATATTGTCATCTCCTTACATTTCTTACTGTTAAGCTTCATTCCTCTACTTGAGGCATACTGAGATACATCATTTACGAGAATAGGTAGCAAGCTAGGAGAGCAACGTGGAACAATTTCTAGTGCAGTAGCATCGTCTACAAACTTTATCCGCCCATTCCAGTCCTGTAGGAGGGAATTGACCAAAATGGCAAAGAGAAGAGGGCCAAGTTTAGTTCCTTGATGTGCTGGTGAAGCGTCATAAGTCCTATTGAGTATTCATCTACTGTAACTGTGTAAAGCCCTTTCGATACATGTAATTGTAAATTTGTATTCTTACATGCAGGGCTTGAAATAACGTTCCCAAAGTTCCCGATCATGGTGATCGGCAGTCGCGACTTTCCCTGCTTTTTTCAGGTTGGAAACCGAAACCCTGCTTTTCCGCCGATCATAAGCAATTCCTTGCCGATCATTGATCGGTGATCGATTGTTATTTCAAGCTCTGTCTTAACAATTTTGAATTGATACTGATTTCAAATGATTAAAGCCATGTAATAATTATCCCATGCAACTGTTAGGAAGGGCGAAATTTTGAACGGAGGACGAAAATCCTAAAGAAAAGGTGAAGTTTCTAAAGGGGGGCGAATTTCCTAAAGGGGGGCGAAATTCCTAGGATTTTCGCCCCCCTGGGGGGGGCGATATTCCTAGGAATTTCGCCCCCCGGGGGGCGAAAATGTAGGGGGGGCGAAAATCCTGGGACACCGGCTCTATAGACACTTTGAATATTGTTTGCATGAAATTTTTATTTCCTGACTGCATAATTATCTGTTACAATCATAATCACTTTATAAAGTTAGTTAAATTTTCTCGGTGCGGGGGTGGGGGGGGGGCGGGGTGTAGCACTTGCCCTGCTGCATTCCCCGCTGTGTACAGCCCTGTTTTAAATCTTATCTGCCATTATAATAAGTGATGAAATATTTCAATTGTCCCATGTCATCTTCATTATTCAGTTTCTTTCAAAAAAATACAAAATGTGAATCATGTTTTTTCGCAGATACATGTACGCGTCGCGTACCTATTTTTGTATCTGCGAAGCAGATATATATGCTATCGCAAACGTGCCGTGACCGTACCGTACCGTACCGTATGTTAGCAGATAGCCATTCAGCGACGAGCTTATATAATTTAAGCCAATTTAAGCCAATCAGCGATTCGTTTACATCAATTGTTTACATCGTGCCCGCATCTAATCTGCGAACGGGCATACTTTAGCCTCGTCAGGCTCAATCTCGTTCCCAGAGTATGCCTGTTCGCGGGTTAGGTTGTGGCATGACTCTGGGGAAATCGAATCGAAATCGTTATTTGATTGGCTGCCGTGATCATCAATGCTGCCGACACAATTAATGCGTGTTTTTTGCGAGAATTACAGGTGGACATACGCGAAGAGAGAATTATCAATGTTGATCAGATTTGGAATGCGAAATCAAACGATATAAATCGAAGGATATGATATTAATCGTATGAAAAAGTATTGGGACGTTGAGTATATACTTACAAAATAGCATGGTATTTATGAATGACTTTTTATCGATCTACAGTACGAGTATATTCATTATAACCATGAAAGAATTGGCTAAATGAAATCATCGCACACATTATCGTTTTGTTAAATTGACATATTGTCGCCAGGACTTTGGAGTGACAGCTTTTGCTTGTGTTAAAAACTTGAAGCTTTAAACAATACAGTACATTATGGTCAATGGTCAACACTCAACATGTTGTAGCCCGTGGTCTTTGTGCTTTTGTAAATGGAGTTATCTATTAAAATTTAAGATGCCAGGTGTTTTTGTAGCATCTGTATAAATTATAGAATAATTGATTTAAGAAGTTTCTCAGGTTGTAAAACATTTGTTTATAGATTTGCTTTGTAAGTGATTGCCACTTGACAGCATGATGGGCTATTCCATTTAATATCCGTACACCCCCTGTCGAGGATACATGTTTTTCATGGTTATACCCCTGAAGAATTTCAAACTCAAAACCTTTTACCCCTGAAGAATTCCAAAATTCCAAGCTCAAAACCCTTTACCCCTGAAGAATTCCAAGCTCAAAACCTTTTACCCTTGTTCAAAGAATTCCAAAATTCCAAGCTCAAAACCTGTTATCCCTGAAGAATTCCAAGCTGAAAACCCTTTACCCCTGAAGAATTCCAAGCTCAAAACCCTTTACCCCCGAAGAATTCCAAACTCGAAACCCTTTACCCCTGAAGAATTCCAAGCTCAAAACACTTTACCCCTGAAGAATTCCAAGCTCAAAACCCTTTACCCCTGAAGAATTCCAGGGATCCTCGACAGGGGGGGGGGGTATGGATATTAAATGGAATAGCCCAATGTAAGGCTATAACTAAGCCAAACCTGAAACAATTTTTACATCAATTTGTGTCTGGATAAAAAATAAGTAGTGAATTTAAATACAGATGTTTCCTTGTCTGTTGCTATCTATTATACTATGTGAAATATTGGCAATTAATCCAATTATATATAAAAGGAGATACTGACAGTAGAATTGAAATAGCTACCAGTTTTCAATCAAATAACTACTTTAATTTCTGTATCAACTATCAAGCCTCCTGTGTATTGTTTCCTAAGCATCATTGAGGGGGCACTTGTTCTAAATCTATGCAATAAGTCTGGTTACCATTAAAAAATGTCCATATTCAGAGTTACCGTTGTACTATATTTTATTAAAATACTACAGAAATGCAATATATTTCATGATTTTAAGATATTGAATGAGGGCTGCATGGTAAAAAGAGGAGGGGGCTTATTTATTTTTGATTTTTGTATCCAAATGAGGGGGGGGGGGCTTTTTGCTTTCTGTATCCAAATGAGGGGAGGGGGGTGATTGGAAAGGGGCTTGAAGAGAAGGGGGCTAAATATAGAAATTACAGTACCTCCATTCCTTCCTCTCCCTTCCCAAACATGCTGCAGAGAGGGGCAACTGCAGGGGTTAAAGCCTGGATTGCAAGGTTGATGTATAAATTGCATGTTATGTACCTGGTAATATGGAAAAATGAGCTAGTAAATGTATCCTTGCCTACAACTAGTTGCCGATTAAATGTTCAAAGATACACAGTGTTAAGCATGAAGAACAAATGGAAGATATACCCACAGCCAACAAATTTTCAACAAATAGATATGGATTTGTTCACTTCATTTCTTACTTTCGACACAAGTAATTATGGTAATTATAATTACAAACACAATGTACTGTCATTTAAAGACTTAATATGTGATCCATGTATATATGTTAATGTAATATAATATAAAAAATAATGTGTTTATTGTTAAAATATGGGATATATAATACCGTAAACCTCTGACTATAAGCCCTGGGCTTATATTCTTTTGTAAGTGATTTTTGATGGGCTTAGGGGGGGGAGGGGGAGGGCTTATATGCACAGGGGCCTTATACATGGACGATCAATTGTGTTAGTAATAAACAAGTCAGTCATAAACAGGAAAATAAACATGTGTTAATAACACATTAATAACATAGTAAGCTATAAAGACAATGACAGTGTTTCAAATATCATTCTCTGCTATATTAAAAGACAATGCCAATGTTAAATAACATAGTGGGATACTGGGCTTATATTCAGGGGGCTTATATTCAGGGGGGCTTATATTTGAAATGAGGTGAGCATTATATTCAGAGGTTTACAGTATACAGTTCAAAAAAGCTTGTATTTTCTTGTCACAGACACACATTTCTGGGTGCATATAGAACAGCTTATACGTCAGGTTCTCATGTCGATCCAATGGTAATTTGATATCGCTGCCATCACCATAATATAGTGTAGCACACTGTAGCACAGAATGGCCTTGTATCATACTTTACATCATGCATGCAGAAATGCCTTGATCATTGACATTCATGTGGCGATATTACTATCACGATAGAATTAGTTACGCCAAGTAACACGTCGTACACGTCAGGTAGCAGCTGAAATATTTTAATATTTGCCATAATAAGCCCATAACCTGTTGGCAAAACAACCAAAACATCTTCACCATTTTACATTATAGCCGAGATACATTTGAATGTCTCGTCTTTTAACGAATATTCAAGCCCTATTTTCGCTAGAACAACTTTCATAGCTCTTTCAGTATTTGCCATTGAATATAATTTAATAGTAGTACGATTTAAAGCACCTTCAAACGTATAAAAACCCATTTTGTATACTATATTCTGATGAGAATCTTTGTTTAAAACAATATCGATTGTGAGCGTGTGCCCGCGCGAATTTAGTAAGCGGAATAAACGAAAGCAATAAAAGCGCATGCGCCATTTATCTCATTTTGGATAAAAAAATTCGATTTCCCCAGAGTCATGCCACAACCTAACCCGCGAACAGGCATACTCTGGGAACGAGATTGGGATTTCCATGGCAAGGATTTTGAAAACATTTCCAGTGATACTTGCTGCTTATAATGAAAAGTTTTTAATTTTTCTCCTTTATAAGTTAACAACAATGTACACTGAATTACAAGGAGCACTAAATATCGTACTTTCCTTTGATAGTTAGGGACCGGTCATTATTTATGGGGATGGCACCGAAGAGAGATGTTTTTCGTGACAAAAATTTTGCTGACCCAACCATTAAAAGGTAAAAAATTTGATTACCCAACGTCGAATATCAATTAAAAATAAATACCTACTCCTGGCCAAAAACTTTGCAAAAAGAGACCATTCAGTTGTCACAGATGTCCTTTACCACTTCTGAGATACGAGTTTGATAACTGCTTGTGTAATTTTCTGCAGTCTAAAGTTTCATGTTGTCTGCACATGTACTTTCTTTAGATACACCATATGTCTCCCAACAAATCGAAAAACAGTGATCAAGATAGTGACTCTGATTGATTCACATATTGTATTGACATATTGACTGTTGACATTGCTTTTTAGTCTCCAATATTTCAATGAGTCATGCTTTGGAAATGACAATAAATTTTCATTACCCAACCCTTGAGTTGTTTTTCATTTACCCAAACCTTTTACTTACTCAAAATTTTGTTCGCCCAACCCTTTTCTCTTCGGCGCCACCCCACCATAAATAATGACCGATCCCTTAATTAAAAAGTTTTCCGTACGTCGAACTTTCTTTCTTTTGTCAAAGATCATCCAGATGGGTATCTGTCTCTAGTATCTGTTTCACTCAATGTGACAAGACATCAATGTAAAGAACTGCGTTTTACTCACAATACAGCAGAGGCCATTCCCTCCATGGCTCTGGGCAAAGGTGTAAAAGCCTCCCATTTATTGTCGACTACGCTATAAGCATCAATCGAGTCTGTCTCAACGTTCATGAAAGCTCCACCAATCGCAAACAGCCTGTCCCCAACGACAGCCGCGACTGGACTCTCTCGACGCACTAGCAACGGCGGCAATGCTAACCAGCGGTTCATGCGCATGTCGTATGTCTCCACCGAGTTATGATCTTCGTCGCAATCGCTTCCACCAAGTACTACGATCTGGTTCCGCAACGCCGCTGCTCCGAAGTACCGTCTTCGATATGTCATGGATTCACATACCGTCCAGTAACCGATGCGAGGGTCATATCGTTCCATAGTGTTTAATATTGAGATGCCGTTATCCCCACCCATGGCAAAGAGAGAGCCATCAATCGATACTGCTTGTAGTCCTTCGCGTTTTGTTATCATCGGCATGACGTCACACCAAGAATCTCTGAAAATCAAAAATAATTTTTCCTGCAACGCAATTTCTGTAGAACGATGTGTTCGTACTGTTTGTTGAACAAGTTGGAACAAGTTGTTATCATCTTGTAACAAGGTTGATGAGGCTAACAAGTCGTTGATGACAAGCTTGTAGCAACTTGTTACGAACATCCTGTACACACATAAAAACGCACAAGTTGTTACAAGTCTGCAAACAAGTTGTTACAAATCTGTTCACAAGCTGTCGACAACTTGTGTTCGCACTGCTTGTTCCCAGTTGTTGTAACAAGTTTGGAACAAGCTGTTGACAACTTGTGACAAGCTTGATGGCATTATCAGACTTGTTACAAGGTTGTTCTAACAAGTCTGATACAGTCATGATATAACAAGAATGTTACAAGGTTGACCACACAAGATTGTAACAATATTGTCATATCAAGACTGTAGCAGACTTGTTGGAACAACCTTGCAACAAGTCTGATAATATCAACAAAGTTGTTACAAGATGTTAATCAACAAACAAAGTTGTTAACAAAGTTGTTACAAGATGCTATCTCTTAACACTGAGAAATGTAAAGAACTGAGAATCGATTTTAAAAAAATTAAACAACCTTTTGATCCTGTACTGGTGGGTGGAGAAGCATTGCCTATAGTTGAGAGTGCAAAAATATTGGGTCTTGTTATGACAGGCACACTTCAGTGGAAAGATAACATCAGAGAGAGTATAAAGAAAGCTAATAAACGCCTCTATTTTATAGTATTATTGAAACGGGCAGGCGTAAATGTCAATGATGTCTTGAACTTTTATTGTACAGTGATTAGGCCTGTGCTCGAGTATTGTGCGCAAGCCTTCCATCATTCCATCCCAAAGTATTTGGCAGACGAACTTGAGACTGTCCAGAAACGTGTGCTAAAAATTTTATCTCCTGAAATGACATATTGTGAGGCCCTTGAGTATTTTAGACTGCCTACTCTATTTCAAAGAAGAGAGGACATGTGTGACAAACTCTTTACGAGTATCATCAAGGATCCAATGCATAAACTTCATCATCTGCTGCCCCGAAGAACGAGACTGATTATTCTTTCAGGACGAATCGGTATTTTAATATGTACGTTACACGCACGAACCGCTTTTATAACTCTTTTATCCCTGCTATGTGTAGGAAGTTTGTAGGATAGATTTTATGCTTATTTTAATCGAATTTTGATCGTGGGTGGGTTTTTATAATATTGTATTAATAATATTTATATGTAGTGCATGTGATAATATGTAATCCACGCAATTCAGCTTCTGGCTGCAATGTGGTTTCAATTTAATAATAATAATAATAATAAAAAAATGTCGACAATAAACTTGTTGACAACTTGGGACAAGCAGTGCGAACACAACTTGTTGGCAGAAACTACGTCATGTTGTGTACACTATAGTGGATCGATACGACAATGAAAGAGAGACTTGGAGCAAGTCTAACTTGCTACAAGATGTGATATTTCTATGCGTGTGTTAGTCTTATTGGAACAACATGTCTGTTACTGTCATCAATCTTGTTACAAGATGATAACAACTTGTTCCAGACTTGTCACAACAACTGGGAACAAGCAGTGCGAACACATCCTGATATCGGTTTGACAACAATCTCGTTACAAACTTATTTGCGCGTTTTTACGTGTGTAAATGGAGTGAAATGCAAGTTATTATTACTTGTTCTGACGAAGACCTAGGCTTATGGATGAAAATGAATCTTTGCCAGTTGTTTTACAGAAAAAAGCACAATAAAGTTTGCATGTACTTCTATGTTCTGTGTGAGTTTTTAATGGCCAGCTCTCGCATTAATGCTTGTGGCTAAAGACAGGAATCTAGTCTGACCTGCGAACAGAAGACCCTACTCTAACCCTAAACACAACCCTAACCCTAACTCTAACCTAACCCTTTAAACCTTTTAACTTTAAAGAAAAAAAAATTCCAAAAAGTAAAACGACTTCAGCAGAACTCGAACCAACAACATCGCACATTACATATTACAGCCGCACGTCCACTGAAACTCGCTGATTGGAAAAATACATCTTATATAGTTTCATATTTATGAACTAATATCTGGGCCAGGCTACATTCCTGTGATTAGCCACAAGTTGCATTAATCTCACCTTACAGGGTCATAACGTTCAACACTGTCATATTCAGTACGGAAGAAATCGCTTCCTCCCACAGAGTACAACCAACCACTCATTTCAACCAACGAAAACGCATGACGGTTCACTGACATTGGTTTAACAAATTTCCAAGAATCCTGACTGGGGTTGTAACATTCCATGGAGTTTAGCGCCAGTTCACCGTCACATCCTGCAGAATCAAATCAAAGTGTTATTCAGACTATCTGCCCATGTGTTGACCCAATGAGTTGCACTGTGCCCTAATGCTCCCAACTTTATTATTTTATCTAGCTAATGCCAGACTATTTTACTTGTCAAGGGGAGAGTGCTGCCACTCAATGGGTTAATCAGACTATCTACCCATGTATCTAGTTAACCAATTAAGTAGCAATGTGCCCTAATGCACCCTACTTTATTATTTTACTTTGTCTAATGCCAGACGATTCTTCTTGTCAAGGGGAGAGTGCTGGCGCTCAATGGGTCATGGGCGTTGCCAGCCACAAACAGGGGGGTCTAGTCGTCCAAAGCATGCCCCCCCCCAAAAAAAAAACTTTTCTATTTTTAGGGTCTTCGAAATGCTATTTCATGCATTTTAGACATGTTTTATGATAATCACTTTGATCTATCGTTGAAACTTTCTCAAGGGGAGGTGCATGACTTTTCAGGGGAGGCGCAAAAATTCTCAGGGAAGGTGCAAAACGATCTCAGGGGAGGGGCACACCTTCCCACACCTCCCATGAAAATCCGGCCATGATATAAAACACTTGCCTCCTGCAGCAAATATAAGGCCGCTATAAGTTGTAACTCCAAGACCGTCCCTTGGTTTATTAAGACAAGCGAACGAGTTCCAACTGTCCTCGGTAAAATTATAACCATCGAGTGTATTGAAGACATAGTTGTGTATTTCTCCACCAACGATGTACAAGCTCTGGTCGGAACTTCTAATCCGTCGTTTCGTCTTTGCACTGAGCTCCTTTCGTTCTGGCAACAAAAGTGAATTTTTTGCCTCGCTCACTGCTTGCAGACAGAAACTATTCGAGGCAATAAGCTCATCTTGTTCAATGCAGTCAACTGGGAATAAAAAAATCATTAACCATTAAGCAGCAATGTGCCCTACTTTATTCATTCACTCTGTCTAATGCCAGACAATTTTACTTGTCAAGGAGAGTCTTGTCAACAAGATGTGTTTGCAACAGGCTTGTAGCAACAAGTTGTAACAACGCTGTTATTTTATCAAGTTGCAACAAGGTTGTCACTCACAACTTGTTGGCAAATTGTTGAATTGCAGGACAACAACAAGTTGTTGGAACAACTTGTAACAAGTCTGTTGAGCTCAACAACCTTGTAGCAAGTTGTCAACAAAGTCATTGACAACTTGTATGACTATAAGGATTGATTCATAAACAGGTCAGGTGGTGTAGAATGGGCCTCTCAAATATAGCACTGTTTTTGCTGTTTCAAAATTATAACATTATAGGGGCCACAGCAAAGAATTTTGCCCCAGCAACCATATTACAAGTTGTTAACAGCTTGTTCCAAACTTGTTGACAATGTGGGACAATTAGCAATGTGTACACAACTTGTTCACAGCTTGTTGGCAAACTTGCTACGAGATTTTTGCATGAGTATGAGACTAGAATTTAGGTTTTTGACTAATTTTGCATAATTTCAGGCCACCATGGTGAAAATTGATTAATGATATTTGGTGGTATAAAATCAGTCATATAATATTATGAATACAGAGAATTGCCAGACTGTAAAGTTTGGTCTGAGTGAGAAATGTTGGCTGAATTTCTGTCCGCGCAATGTCAAGAAAATCCTACAAAATCTGCATATTTTTGATGAACTAATGATTTATTTTGTCTCTAACATGTTGGGCCTTGTGAAAAGTGGTAGAGAATATGCCATTTCCAACAATCTAGAGACTCCAAATTTTCAACCATTCTCAAACATTATGTCTTCGTTTCCATGCAACATTCATTTATGACAGAAAAGTTCCCCGCACAAAAATAATACTAATTTGCATTACCTAGTACTTTAGACGGCAGCAATTCCAACCTTATATGGTTTAAAATTTGAGGCAAAAAATTCTTCCGACTTTCCATATCATGTCTAACCCATGACATCGCTATATCAAAAGCACCCTTCTCGGATGGTGCATTTAAACTGTCGCTCGACAGCAACTGACAAATTTGATCTAACGTCGCCAAATAAAATTCTTCTGTTTTTGCAACTTGGCAAAAATGTTTGGTCGCGAACGTTAGCGCCGTATCTCGGAGAGTGGTGCAACCGTGCAGTTCAGCAAAACTGCTGATGCCGAGGCAGTTAGCGGGATGGAGTTGTGAAGACATAAATACACAACAACCTTTGACTATGTTATTAAATTGCAAAAGATGAGCAGTTTTAAGTAGGCTCTCTACATTGGACGTGTTAAAATCAATGACAGCGGTATAACAGTAATCCACTAGCAGCTTCACAGCCTCAAAATCGACTTCTTTCAAAACAATTTCTCTCGATGAGCTTTCCAGTAAATCCCCCGTGAACATGGTATAAAAATAAACGCTGTTCGCTGCCAAAACAACTCGATGGGCCTCAACTTCTTTTCCACCAACAACGAGGGAAACGTCGCATAATTTCTTCTCCTTGTAGATTTTGTACAAATTTTCAAGGAACATGCTTGCATGCGTGCTATCTGTTTGTTGATCGGGCTTTAATTCTTCTTTAATTTCGCCCTCAAAAGCATCCGTTGCATTTAAATCCTCCATGTTGCTTTTTTCTGCGTTTTGTGTGAAGCGAGTTCGTTCTTCAAAACATAAAACAGGTCACGCAATACAGTACACACGACACGTTACGCATGACGACCGCACGCCCACGCAAACATCGCGACACGCAAACCTGCAAACATATCACGCACAGCTATTTTATGCAATAGCGTTGTCCGCAGTAGCTAAAAATAGATTTTCCAAATGAAGACCCCCCGCGAGACTCAGACAAACAAACTAACATTTTGTATAGAATTGTACTAGCAGCGAACATAAATTGGTCTAAATTGACGTTTTTATTTATTTTATCTGTGCTAAAACGAATTTAAATTTATCCCAAACTACAAACATGGTTATTGCTAAGCTCTGTTGCTGGGGAACATGTCCAAGTAATTCAAAATACTCAGAATAATTGCTGAAACAGTACTCAGCAGTAGCAATGTGTTGACTGTTATTGACTGCGGACTGTGCTGGTTATTCTCCAAGAACTTTCGCAGCTAACCATTTCCCCCCGTCAATACATCCAGCGAACGATGCTTTCCCGAACTATTAAAAGCAATCGCTAACTCGCTGAAGAAGAACGTGACGTTTTATACCGCTTTGCTATAAGCCGGCCTCTACATTTTAACCACTGCTTGAGTTTATAAATCGACAGTATAATCAGATGGATGATGCTCAAAAGATGAGTCTGGGACGCCATCGTTTTTAGTGAGAGCGTCTGTTGTTAAATTTATGACTGAGGGAAGCAATATTTTAACCAGACAGTGTTAGGCTATTTAATTAACACAGTGTTAATAATAAAGGGCGGTTCTCTATTTTAAAAAAACTTTAAAAATAGATAAATAAAAATGTTGTTTTTATAATAACATATTTTTGTTGTATTGTCAAAGCAAAATAGTTTTACTGGTCAACGGAAGATTTTATATTTGTAGTTTATCTTTGACATTTTTTAAAAGTTTAAATTTGAAAGTATTAATTTTAATTACATTCCTAATAAATCCGTATTTTATAACTTGAATATGTAGTCAATAGATTATAGTAAATAATCCTAGCTTCTTTGGTATTGGACTTTGCCATTAATAAAAGAGATGTCTAAAGTAATAAAATAATGCACACTAAAGCGAGGTAAGTTAGTAACATGAAATCAACAACATTAAATAGGGAACTTTAGAACTGATTCGCTTGGGCTACGAATTAAATCTGGTACGATTACGAGATTTTTTCGTTAAATATCTGCTACTACAGACTTTCTATCGTCCTTTCTTTTGCATACCCTTTCTTTATAGCAACAGTTACGCCAAACCATGGACTATTATAACACAGTAGACACTGCCTATGATAGAAACGACATGACAGTCGATACTAAAGTGACGAAAAAGTGTATATTTCTACTTCCAAAGCAAAAATATTTTGCACTGGCACTTCAGGTAAAGCGAAAAGTACAAGGTGTGTATGATTTCCCACAAATAAACTGTAAACAAACGATCAAACTATCAAACTAACTCACAGGAAGCTCTTAATCGTAATACTATTTATATTAAATGTTGCCAATGTTTGTCTGAGTCTTGGCGGGGGGTCGAATTTTCGTGACGTCAATTGCGGACAACGCTATTGTATGCCATGGGGCCTTCAATGGAACCTTGTGAAACACCATATTCATTGTTCATTGTTCATGCCTATACACACGCAAAAATCTCACATCTTGTAGCAAGTCTGCCAACAAGCCGTCAACAAGTTGGGTTCGCACTGCTTGTCCCAAGTTGTCAACAAGTTTGGAACAAGCTGTTGACAACTTGTAACAATCTTGTTGATGTGATCAGACTTGTTGCAAGGTTGTTCCAACAAGTCCGATACAGTCATGATATAGCAATATTGTTACAACCTTGTGTCGTCAAACTTGTAACATTCTTGTTTATATATCATGACTGTATAAGAATTGTAAGAACAACGTTGTAACAAGTCTGATAATGCCATTATCATTATTGTTAACAGCTTGTTCCAAACTTGTTACAACGTACAACAACTGGGAACAAGCAGTGCGAAGACAACTTGTCGACACAGTTATGAACAGATTTGTAACAACTTGTTTTGCAGACTTGTAACAACTTGTGCGCACTGCTTGCTCCCAGTTGTTGTAACAAGTTTGAAACAAGCTGTTAACAACTTGTAACAAGCTTGCAGGGTCGTTCCTAGACGCAATAATTGGGGGAGGTGTATATTCATATATTCATGTTCACATACCGTAAAAACAATCCGACTTTTAAAAGAAATCCGTCGGGCAGAACACGAATATATGAATATACCCCCAATTTTCGCGCTAGGAACAGCCCTGCAAGCTTGATGGCATTATAGTCATACAATAATGGTATGACAAGAATGTTACAAGGTTGAGACACAAGGTTGTAACAATATTGTTATGTCATGACTGTATTGGACTTGTTAGAACAAGCTTGCAACAAGTCTGATAATATCAACAAGGTTGTTACAGGTTGTTAACAGCTTGTTCCTTATACTTGTTGACAACTTGGGACAAGCAGTGCGAACCCAACTTGTCGACAGCTTGTTACAAAATGTGAACAGTTTTAAATTGGCGAACAGTTTTAAATTTTCAATGACATTTAACTTTAATCTTTTTCAAATATTTAAAGTAAGTTTGTAAAAACAAGGAAGCCAATTAACTGTTGTTTTAATATTATGCACTATTAATATTGACCGAAAGCCGGCCAAAATTAAAGATCATCATTTTCAACAACAAACAAATATAGCCATCTATTGTCAACGAATAACAATTCCAGGTTTGATTCAGTTCTTTTCGGGCAAATATTTACTACTAACTTTGAGACTGATTTCCGCTCGGATTTCAGTTCAATCTATAGCAATCGGCAAGTCAGAATATTAAAATCATGTTTTACGCAATAATTTTTCCAGCAATCATTTCACACCACTCGGTAATTTTTGTTTGAATTTTAACAAATTAAGAATTTTTAGTGTCCGGTGTTCCGTTTTCCAGAATGATGTTGTTCCGGTGTTCCGGTGTTCCTGGTAACTAATAATAGCCTCAACAAGCTGGGAACAAGCAGTACGAACTCGTCGTGTTGTTAAGTTGTCAGCATTGCTATACAACACACGGAAATACTGCCGAAATCCTTATCGGAAGAGCACGAAACATTTTCGGAGAAAATCACTCACCGTCAAACATCCTCCACCCACGCCAGTGGGTAGGTACTCGATCCACGCAGGCGCTCTTTGGGGAGGAACGACACAAAGAGCGTCTCCGTGGGATACTTGTGGGTGGGGTGCAATAATTTCTTCTGTGCCATCAAAACAATTGCGAAAAAGTCAACAATATTTCTGTTAACTCTGGGAAAATGTAGCTACAATCTTGGACGTAACCCTTGAGGCCATCCCAGGCAATATTGCAAAGTTAATGCACATGGACAAAACAAACTTCGTCACCCCCCGATTCAATGCAGCGCCCAAACAACTTTTGCAGTTTGGGTAATTTACCGTGACAAAAGCTCAATCGTTGATTAATCTTCAACACATATGACAAGACATAAGATTTTTAGAGTTGTTTGCTTCCTTACACGAGCGGTACCATGCAAAATGCTGCCAAAATTAGTTCTACCAATTTTAGGTTGTCGTCCACGTTGACAAAACGGGGGAGTTAAGAAGCGGAACCTGATTTAACAAGGAATTTATCATAAGGGTTATGCATGCGAATTTAGTATAAAGGAAAAAATAGTCTCAACCAGTTACATGTTCTGTTAAATATTTACCCGTATGCTTTACACTGCAGGCATCGGCCTTGTCCCTCTAAACCTTAAACTCTAGGCGCGCAAAGCTTAATGGGAGCACAAGTTTCAAGCTCAGTCGGTTGAATATTGCAATTCTGTCCTCATAAGGAGATATTTAGCATGCATGTCTCTAAGAAATGGGCCCCATATATGATTTCTAAACTGATTAATGGACCATTTGCATTATAGACTAAATTTTGGTCTAGACAAAAATTTCATCACAGCTTGAAAGAGCATCACAAAATTAGTAATATTCCAAAGTTTCGTTGCGGAATGTCGTAAAATGCGGATAATATAGCCTTTCGAAATTTGCAATTTTCAGTCATTTTGTATTACAAACGGGAAATTGATGCCCCAACACCCGATTGGGCGGTCAATTTCCCGTGCGAAATACAAAATGACTGAAAAACGGCAAACTTCGCAAGGCTATATTATCCGCATTTTACAACATTTCGCAACGAAACTTTGGAATATTACTAATTTTGTGATGCTCTTTCAAGCTGTGATAAAATTTTTGTCTACAGTTGTCTAGATCAAAATTTAGTCTATAATGCAAATGGTCCATTGATGCTCTCATTATGCTTTGCATTCTGTGTTTTGCACGCTTAGAGTTTAATTTAGAGTTTAAGGTTGGCAAAGGACAACCTTTTTTGAATTAGCTGTATACGCGAACTTATGAATCGTCAATGCTTGACAACTGGACTGTGTAACGAGTTCAGTTGGTCAGAGCGCAGCACCGGAATCAAAACGTATGTATTATATATAGTTTATATGGAGACCAATTGACCAAGGCGGAACCGATATGCGGATATCGCGTGTCAGCTCGTCGCATCATCACGTGCTAGTATGCATGCATTGTGTAACAATATCGTTGTGTATATAAGCACATTCCCCAACTGACAGCTTGCTATAAGGCCGAGAGCCAGGTACAGTCGAAAGCCATAAGAAAGATCATTTCTATTCTAACAAAGTCAATAATATGGGAAATCTCATACCATTGGACGGGGCGAAGAAAGAAGAATGTGAAGGTACGATTAAACATCTTCCAATTTTGATGGTTCAATATGACCCCTCTATCTTGAGCCAGGAGTCTAGTATTGGCTTATACAAACAAATATAGTTCAAAATCCTCGACTTATTCCTAATATAACAGCAAGTTTCTAATATATAATGCATTTGCCATTACTATTCTCATTTTTCGTAGCCCTCAATATAAACATAAATGGAACATGTCTGTGCACGCACGTTTTGTCATTCCAAATGCGATAGGCGTTGTTTAGCAAAAATATTGATCTTGCTTTTTAGTAGTTGAAACAACTATAATATCAACTAAGTTTAGCAAACAAGTTGTAATATATGATATTTGTATCGAGTTTTGTATGGTACATATTTGTAAATTTAATATGACGGAAATTTTGAATGCTTTAATTTGCGCTGTTTGCGGAAGTAGGTTTTAGGGCTTGCGGCTAGTTAACTAGTTTAATCTCGGATCAGTTCGGTTACAAAATCCCCCAAAAGTTAGCACTGAATAGAACTGCCACGTTATTTCAAAATCCTTTTAAATTTTGCACAGAGATAGTTACATTCATGAAAGTTTATCCGATCCTGGTTGAATAATACTGGAAATCGAACAAGGCAGTTAGCAGCCTTTTGGATTTTGTCGCTTGTATAGTTAGATTGAACCTCGTTTATTTTCACAGAGTAACTATATAGGCAAGGACATGCATTCAGTGTCAAATTTATCATTCTATAAATGTCGAATATATGAATACATTGAGCTAGAAATGGAGTCAGTGATTTAAGCTGTAGGGGAACCTATAAGCATTGTTGACAAATCTTTGTCCTTTTGACATTCTGTTGATTCGTTACGCTCATTGTGCAATGACGTACTCACCCTAGTTTACAGTCATGAAATTTCTTAACCATACAATAATTTACAGGTGTTTTCAAATTTCCGAACAATATATATAACATAAAACTTTCGTGTTTGTGAATTGTATCGATTTCGTTGTCTCAAAAACTGCGACAATATCGTCTTGTGAAATGATATTGACGTCAAAATTGTTACTTGAAACCATTCCGCAAAACGGAAATGCAAACAATAGCACGGAAGGTGAGGCTGTCATGTGAGCGATAAAAATAACAAACTTGAAATGGTCTAGCGAACATAATGAAGAGTTCTTCGAAATAAGTTCGAATTTGAGTATATTTCCATATGGTCGTATCACGATCTTTCTCAACGGCCAGTTTATAACAGTTTTTATAATATAGCATTTGTAAATTCTGAATGCTGATTGGCTAGCTAAGAGCCGTGTTGATATAACTCTATGTCAACACGGAAACGTTGGAAAATTTCTTTCTTTATATTTCTTTGTGCTATCTTAGAAAACAAATATAAAAACTTTTTTCCGCATTGATATATAACCATGTCAACACTCGTGGAAATTGTGAAAACTCGAAATTATGTGAAAGCACTCCGCCCTTCGGGTTTCCACACAATTTCTCGTTTTCCCAATTTCCATTCGTGTTGATATAACTGTATATCAACACGGAAAATGTTTTATATTTGTTAAATACCTGTAAACCACATATGAATCATAAATATTCAGGAGCCAGTTGTTCAAAGCTGGGTTAGCTTAACCCTTGGTTAACCTAAAATTCGAAGCAAACTTCCTGACAGCTTTTCTATAAATTTGGACTGATACTTCTTCAGAGATCTTGTCTGGATCGATAGGAGTTTACTTCTCTGAAGTTTTGAAATACACAGATCAATGTGTAGAACTACACAAACTAAAACAGCAGTTTAAATTTTAACCCAGGGTTACTAGGTTAGTATTAACCCACCTTTGAAAAACCGTCCCCTGTAGTTATTATCACTCGGATTCACTCCGCGTATTTTCAGTTCTAAAATGTTGTACTTCGGCTGATGAGAAAGATCGTGACTCAATCTTTACGACCGTTACGACCGGCATATGGAATTGAACCAGGCTTTACGTTTCGGCTCTCGAATACGTTTTTTAGTTAAACACGCGGACGACTTGTAAATGCACCCGGGATTTTTTGCTGTCTTCGCTTCCTTCCCTTGGTCCTCCGCGCGCGTTCACCAATTACCCGAAATGTCTTATGTTTTCAAAGTATGCCGCACGCGTGTTAAAATGTCTCCGTAGAGTATTATCCCCGGGTGTACAATCGTCGTATACATATGTAAATACCGTAAACCTCCGACTATAAGCCCCCCCCCCCGAATATAGGCCCCCCATGTATAAGCCCACCACATGTACTAAC